TTTTCTTCTTCTATTTCTTCCCTATCTACATCTTTCACATTTTCTTTTCTGTTTCTTCTTGTTCCTCCTCCATTTGCTTTCTTCTTCCTTTCTTCTTTTTCCATTCTTTATTTCTGCTTTATCTTATCTTTTTGAAATATTCTTCCTTTTCCCTAGTATTGTCGCTGCTCAATTAATTGTTTATCCTCTCTTTATTTTTTTTTCTCTCTCTTCCACTTCCTCCTTTCTAAATCTTCTTTTTCTTCTCTTTCCTCTCCTCCTTCTTCTTCACTTTTCATTCTTCTTCTTTTCTTCCATTTTTCATTCTTTCTTCTTCTTCCCCTTCCATTTTCTTCTTTTTCTTTTTCTTCTTCTTCTTCTCCTCTTCTCCTTCTCACGTTTTCTCATCATCTCTTTCTTCTTCTTTTTCCTCCTCCTCCTCCTCTTCTTCCCCGTTTTCTCTGCATCTCTCTTCTTCTCTTCTTCTTCTTTCTTCTTCCTCCTCCTCCTCTTCTTCTCCCGCTGTCTCATTATCTCTTTCATCTTCCTTTTTATAAATTTTACTCCTTTTTTTCTCCCACGAAAAACGTAGGTTGAGGCGAGGGCGGAAGTGGATGGGGTGACTGTGCTAAACCTTCCTAAATATTTATAAAGGTGACGAAAATGGATGCAATAACTCACTCATTACGTGTGTTTCGCGGGATCACACTTCCTCTTTTTCGTTTTTTCTTTCTTACTTTCTTTCTTAGGTGTCTTTGTTATTATTCTTTTGTTTCTTGTCTTGGGCTATTTTTTCTCCTACTTCTTTCATTTGCATTTCTATAATTTGCTGTTAATTCTTTTCTATTTTAACGTTACCTATTCTTTCTATCCATTTTTCTTTTTTTCTTTTTATTATCCTTTTCCGTCTTTTTTGCCATTTCATTCCCTCTGTTACGCCCTTTTCGTTTCACTCTCTTTCCCTTTCCAGTTCCTCCCTTTATCTCACATTCTTCTTCATCTCTCCTTCTTCACTTCCTTAAAATCATCAACATTCTTCTTCACTAGTTAATTAACGTCTCCCGCCCTTTCACCTACATACAATCTCCAAATCCTTATTACTCTACTTACTCAAAATCCATTCCCACTTACTTATAATCCTCTAATATCATTCTCTATACTTACTTAAAATCTGAAAGCCCCTCCTGCTCCACTTACTTATAACCCCCCCCCCCGCCTCCTGCCATTCCTCTCACTTATTTAATCTTTCATTTTCCCCTTATCACTTACTCAAAATGCCTTACTCCCCTCTTCCACTTCCTTAAAATCAACCAATCCCTCCTATTCCATTCACTAAAGTCCTTCTACTCCTTTTCTACACATTAAAAAGTCTTACTGGTAACAGTAGAAGTAACAGTATCATCATCATCATCATCATTATCAGTGTTGTTATTGCTATTATTATTGTTGTTGTTATTGATTTTGTTGTCGTTGCTGCTACAAATATTATTGTTATTATAAATGTATTTGAAATCGGAGAAGATGGCTAACAAAGGATGACGTCAAAGAACACGAATAATGATTATTATTCTAAGAATTGTTGTTTATTGTCACTTTCTTAGTTAATCTTACTATTATTACCATCATTAACATGATTACTACTGATACTTACTTATAATACCCCATCCTTCCACTCCCTAACTTCCACTTTCCGTTTACACTTACTTATGCCTAATTCCCCTCTCTCTCCCTTACTTATACTCTCCCATTTCCTTACTTAAAAGAACACAGTTCCAATCCACCATATTTATAATCCCCAATTCCCATATTTCAGTTTACTTTCACCTCTTCCACTTGCTTAAAATCCCCAACTCCTCTTAAAATCCTACTTCCACTTTAAAATCCTCTATCTTCCCACTTGCTTAAAATCTACACTCTCTCCTCTTTCTTACACTCCTCCATTTCCTTAATTCCACTTACTTAAAAGCCTCTGTTAGTTCTCCCACTTACTTAAAATCCCCTTGCCTCTACTTCCGCTTACTTTAAACACCCTCTCCCACTTACTAATACTCCCCGTACACCCACACCCACTTACTTATACTCCCCACTCCCCCTACTCCTCCCTCCTCTTCCTCTTCCTCCCCACTCTACCGAAAGCCCGAAATCCACTTCCTACCAAAACAAAGTGGATTCCCGACCCGCACACACCAACCCTTCCACTCCCCCCCCCCCCACCACCTCCCCCACCCCGTATACCACTTTGACTGACAGTTTTCCGACCGTTCAATTAGCGTGATGTGATTGCACTCTACAGCGCGACGTCTTTGCAATGAATTCATAGAGGTGTGATCACAGCGGCTGAGGTTTCGTCTGAATGAGAAATTAAAAAGAGATTAATTTTCCATCAGTGGTGGCAGCGATATGGGGTGACTGGCGTACTTACTGTCGATAATGGCGGCTTGGGGGGGGGGGGGGTTAAGGTAAGGGAGGAGGTTGGTGAGGGTGTTGCAAGGAATAAAAGGAATGTGGTGATAATGGTGAT